GTGTTCTTTATCCACTTTGGAAGAGAACACCAAAGCCCAGAGAAGCTGAGTAACTTTGCTAAGGTCACAGAGCTGGTGAGTGAGGACCAGGACTGGGACATACCTCCATCTGGCCCCATTGTCCATGTTTTTATCACTACATAGAACCTCAGCCTGAGTGCCCTATAAAGGACCTTTGGGGTTAATCATAGTGTTCCTTTCAGAAGAGAAGAAGGTGTTTCAGTATCTTTGTAGGAGAGGAGTGAGAGATCAGAGGCAGAGAGGTGAGATGTCAGCCCCAAAATCCACAGGAGTCCATCTTAGGAGGGTCTCCTGGTAAGAGTGGCATTAAGAACTTCACTTCATTCCTCTTTAGTTCTGTGTGGCCACACAGTTTTGAGTCCCGAGGACCTGAGGGCACCCCATGTGCACACCCAGCATTTCTGACAAGACACCAGAACAGCAGGTTCACCCAGCGGCATGCCAATAGCAACTGCTAACCAGGCGCTGTGTGCTCAGGCCTGGCCAGACGCCCACCTGGCCGCCCCACACCCCCCTCCTCAGGCTTGCCCTGGCCTCCAAGGTCAGAGCCTGCATGTAAAGACTGGCCTGCTGCCCCTGAGTTTGGAGTCTTGTCACACCTTGGACCTAAAAGCACTGTGCTTGAATGTGCCACTCAGAGGAGAGTATCAGCATCTGCTCCAGCACAACCACCCCACCCACCCCCGCCTCCAAAACAGAGACAGCCTGCATTGGGCTAATTCTGCTCTGCTGTCTTCAGGTTTGGTCCAGAGCTAAGCAATCTCATAGAATAACCCAATTCACTGCCCCAAACTGACCATTTAACCCAATGGGTCTCACCCGACTGTCGCTGTCAACTGATACTAATTACAGCCACCCCGCCTCCCTTGAAGGAGCCCTCCTGGAGTCCTGATTCGTTCTGGGTGCTGGGTAACCAGAGTGAATTATGCCCACAACCCCATCGCCTAGAGGAAGCACACAGGGCAGTGCGCCGAGCAGACACCTGGACAAACAGATGAATTGAGAGACGCACTGGGGAGTTTCTCTTAGGGCTCTAGTCTCTGAAAGAGCAGTGGCCGGAAAGGCTTGGAAAAGGCAGCATCTTTGAAGCTGACGTTGGGCGCATCATAGTGCAGGCACCCAGGGCCTAGCCAGTGCCTGGCCCTTCATAGATGCTCAGTAAATAGTTGAGGAAAGAATTAGTGAATGCGTAGCTTAGGGTGTGGGGAAAGGTTCATATTCATGGAACCTTTGGGGGATGAGTGAATAAAGCCCCGATGACTGTGGATGGCCACTTTAACCTTTGACCCTTTCTCTTTCCTCTTCTCACCTGAACGTCTAGTGCTTTCCTCATAATGATCCTATTCCCTCATTGGGCAGGTCTTTAATAATAGACTTTATTTTTTAGAAAAGTTTTAGATTTACAGAAAAATTGATAAGATAGCACAGAGTTCCCATATAACCCCTCCCCCACTTTCCCTCATTATTAACATCTTACATTAGCATGGTACATTTGTTATAATTAATGAACCAACATTGATACATTGTTATTAACTAAGTCCCATACTTTAGTCCTATTCACTTAGTTCTTATTTAGTGTCTTTTTCTGCTCCCGGATCCCATCCAGGACACCACATTGCATTTAGTGGCCGTGCCTCCTTGGGCTGCACTTGGCTGAGACGGTTTCTCAGACTTTCCTTGTTTTAGATGACCTTGACAATTTTGAGGAGTCCTGGGCAGGTAATTTATAGGATGCTGTCTAGTGGAACGTGTGACGTTTTTCTCATGATTAGCCTGGGATTACGGTTTTCAGGGAGGAGGACCACAGAGGTCAAGTGCCATTCTCATCACATCAAGGGGACGTGCTATCACTGTTGATGATGACCTTGATCACCTGGCTAAGGTCATACTTGTCAAGTTTCTCCACCACAAACTTACTCTTTCCTCACCTTTCCAGACTCTCCTTTTTGGAATCAGGTCACTCTGTGCAGCCCTCACTTAGAAGTGGGTGGTTGTGCACCTCCAGATAATGTTTGAGTATTTGAGCGTTGTCCGTTTGGAACAGGCGTGGCCAGCCCTTATCTTTACTTACTCGGGTGACATAGCACACACTGAAGTTAGGCAGTGAGGTCGAGGTTGAGCTGTGAGTCCTGGAGGGGAGAGGTCTCGCCCTGCCTGCTTCTGTCGCCCGGGATACAGCTCCTTTCACAGTCTGGGACGCCTCTTGGATGGTTAATAAGTACCTATTGAATTGACTTGAAAAGCCACCGCCACCAAAAACACAAACCCCACGGAAGAGTCCACTGGCAGCTCACGTCCCTCTTACGGGCCACCAAGTCCAGGAAATGGATTTTCATTCATTCACCCTGAGTTGATTAGACAGGGCTGGCTCACCAGCAAGGCTCACAAGACAAATCCTGGTGCATAGGAATGAGACCAGCACCATTCATCATACAGTCTGTATAGAGCATTTAGCAGGTCACAGGCTTCATCTTTTTCATGACCAGCAAGTATTCATTGAGTGTCCACGGTGTGTCTGGTAGTCTGAGGCCACAGGGATGATGAAATGTGGTCACCTGAGGCAAACTCTAGACAAGGTGTATTAGTGTTCTATTGCTGCAGTAACCAATCACACAACTTACAGGCTGAAGACAATACCCGTCTATTATCTCATGATTTCCGTGGGTCGGAAGTCAGGGCACAGCGTCTCGGCTGGGCTCTTCGCTTAGGGTCTCACAGGGCCAAAAGCAAGGTGTCAGCTGGGCTGTGTTCCCATCTGGAGGCTTTGGGGAAGAATGCACTTGCAAGCTCATTCAGGTTTGGGTAGAATTCATTTCCTTGTGGTTGTAGGACTGAGGTCTCATTTCCTTGCTGCCTGTCAGCTGGGGGTCCCATCTTGCTCCTGGTGTTGTTGCCTACTTTCCCTCTCAAGCTCGCCATGTGGCCCCCTCCGTCCCCAAGCCAGCAGCAGCTCATCTGATCCTTCTCAGGCTTCCAGTCCCTCTGACTTCCTCTTCTCCTTCATCGCTTCTGAATTCCTCATCTGCCTCTAAGTTTAAGGGCTCATGTGATTACATTGGGCCCTCTAAGATAATCCCCGTCTTTTAAGATCAACTAGTTAGTAACATTAATTATTCCTGCAAAGTCTTTTTTGCCCTGTAAGGTAATATATTCATGGGCGTGGCATCTCATGGTATTCACAGTCCCAGGGATTAGGGCATGCCATCTTCTAGGGGGCCATAATTCTGCCCACCACTCAGTGCTTCTCCAACACCAGTGTGCATGGGGATCTGCGCCTGCAGAGCGTGTTCACGTGGATTCTGATTCAGTGGCCCTACGGTGAGAGTCTGCATTTCTCACAAGCTCCCAGGCGATATTGCTGCTGCTGCTGGTTGATGGAGCACATTTGATTGGCAAGGCTTTAGACCAGAAGAAACAAATTTACAGCCCCCAGCCCAGGTCAAACCCAAGACAGAATTTCAGTACATGAACCCTGTGGTTCTCAAACTTTAGGGAGCATCAGAATCACCAGAAAACTTGTTAAAATACAGATTACTGGGCCCCACCCCCAGCATTTCTGAGTCAGAACATCTGAGATGGGACCTGAGGATTTGCATTTCTAACAAGCCCCCAGGTGATGTGGTGCTACTGGTCCGAGGACCACACTTTGAGAACCACAGCATTAAGCCATGAGACAGGCAGTCACTTTGTGAGTGTTAAGTGAGAGGAGCATTTAACACCCTTTGGTTACAAGGCATCTTCTTTTAAAGCAGAGTCCCTTTTTCCATCCAATATGATTGTGTCTCCTTAGGCGCCTCTGCGGATCACTCAGAGGTGACATGGTGCCCTTTGGTGTCTCACCCACTTTAATAGAAGGTTTGGATGTTCCTCTCCCAGGTTGAGCTGTATCCTTCTGCTTTGGGAGCACAATGAAGTCGATTTCAGAATAGCTTGAACCACTGACATCATTAGTAGTCCCAAACCCATCTTTTAAAATCAAAAATAATATTTATTGTTTTTAATACAAAAGCAACACTTTCTTGTAGAAAATATAGATAAAAAGAAAAGAGAAAACATCATAATCCCACCCAAAAGTAGCTACTCTATTCTTCCAGACCTTTTTCTATACATATCTGTCCAAATATATATGTAGGGTTTTATTTCCAAAAATATATGGTACAAACTGTGTTGTAACCTACTTTTCTTAATATGTTGTAAATGTCTTTCTGTCTAACCCCCCTTTTTGGCCCCTAGTTTCAACTCCCCTCCCCCAATAAAAAGCCTCCAAATGCTGTGATGCCTGGCTTCCCCTGGACACCTGCAGTAGAAGGGAGATTAATGAACAGCAGGGGGCCCCAGGGGGAAGGAGGCAATAAACGTAAAGAATGGGGGTCAACAGAAACAGGCTCCTTCATGCCTGAGCAATCAGGGGCAGCTGGAGTTTTGCATCGCAGAACTGTTTCCTTCGCGCTTTTTTGAGAAAATGATTCAGCTGAGCGCTCCTGGATCCGGAAATGCCCCAGGACCAGAATCCGATTCATAAGAAAGTTGAATGGGGAGCATTTGTGTCTTGGTGCTGGAGAGCACCATCCCAGGATCGAAAGGGCTTCCTGCTGCTAGTTTCAGGATAATTAGCTATAATCAGAATTTTGGAGTATTGATAAAGGTGTGTTTGGGATAAAAACTTAGTTTCCATTCTGTGAGTTACAAAACCTGCTTCCCAATGGATGGTAAATGATGAGGGCAAGAGAGAAGGATTCAATTACAAATTACGCCTTCACCAGTGACCCAGCTGGAAAGAGATGGTGGACTGACAGAGCGAGCCGGTCCAGGGCCTGCTAGGGCAAACTGCATGCATCATGTCCAGGGGACTTGCTCTTGGAAGCTGCGATCAGTTTGTGGGCTCCCCTTGCCTTGGGGGGGGCGCGTGTTCCTGTGCAAGAGTTTGGACAGGCTGCGCACTGGCCCCAGCAATGTGAGCTGTTCTTTCTTTTCCGCAGAACGAAGTGATCAGCCAGCAGCTGTGTGTCATCTTCACTCACTGCTACGGGCCCTACCCCATCCCCAAGCTCACGGAGATCAAACGGAAACAGACCTCGCGACTGGGTGAGTGTGCTTCACCGGGCCGACGGGCCCTGCGCAGCGTGGGCTGTGGCTTTGAGGACCAGGGGGAGGCGAATGTCATCAAAGAAGGAAGGGCGTATCCAACAGCAGCCAAGATAGATACAGGAGCCAGGCAGGTGAAGATCAGGATGTCACCTCTATTACGGGATAACTGGAGGATATACCCCAGGGATGTGGACAGAGAGATGCGCCAGGGCCTCGTTCCTCTGATGGAGCGTCTTTCTCCCGCAGTCACAGACAGTGATGGACTGTGGACTCCAGAAGGCCTCCCCAGCCCCAGCCCGTGCGCTCCCTGCAGGCAGGTCGAGGCCAAAAGAAGGCCGTGCTCTGTGAGGCAGCCATCCCCTAGAGACTCCCCTCTAAGAAGTCCCTCTTCCTCCCGGAGGAGGAGCAAGCAGGGGACAATGACAGGCCAGCAGTGTTCCTCTAATGGAAGTCCATGGGAGGGAACTAGGAGGAGAGGGGAACAAGTGTCCCCCCACAACACACACACACACACACACACACACATTCGAAGGGAACGTACCTGAGCCCGGGAGACGGGATGCTCTGAAATCCCATGAGAGTGGCAGTAACCACATTTTGTTCTCCTTGGACACTTGGTTGAGTTGGCCCCAGCCAAGCACTTGACTTACCCATCTCAAGTGATCCTCAGGCCACCCCAAGAGGCAGGCGCTGTGTGTCGTCCCATGTCACAGCTGCTGCAGCTTGGCAGATCAGCCTAGAAAAAAAGACAAAGAAATGCTAAACTGCCTTGAAGCCTGAAACATGAGCCTTCTCTTGCAAGGGCCTGTCAGCTTGCTGCCCGGGGAGTTATAAAATATTAAAGATAAAGGGTTCCTTTTCCAGTGAAGGTTTGGGGCTTTCCTCCTTCCTATTTCCTTTTTTGAAAAGATTGGGAAACGTTGGAGAGATGGAAGCATCGGAAAATTCTACTCTTTAGCAAAACCACTGCTTTTAAAACAGGTGATCTAGTTTAAATAAGTGGAAAGGCTGAATTCACGGAACTGTTTTATTTTTGTTCCTGTCGTGAATAAGTTGGTAATTTAAGTGACCCAGCTTTTTGCCAAAATGAAAAACTTAGCAGCCAAATCAAAGCTTATCTGTTTTTCTTTACACCCATTCATGTGGGCAAACCAGGATGTACCACAACCACAAGTATTTCTACCTTGTAGAAAATAGGTGTTAATTAAAATATCATCAGGGCAACAAATTATAAAGACCAACCAAATTAATAGACTTCAGAGGTTGGAGGTGACATTCCCAGGACATGGTAATAATCTCTGACATCTGGGTGCCTTACAAGGTACCCTTAGTAGAGCAAACATTTGCAAGGGCTGTTTCCTAAAATCTGCTTTCCTGTACCTCCCGGAGAAGAGGGAACATTTCCTCCATCTGAACTTGCCAAGATCTCTTTCCCTAGCAATTCAAAGGGCCTGGTTTTCAGGCCAAGCATTGGAATTCCAAGGGTTAGCACCAAGAGAAGGAAGGCAGGCCTGAGAGGCTCGAAGCTCATGGTATGAAAGAAGAAAGGCAGAAGATATAATGATTAATAAATGGAATGTGGAGCATGCAGTGTTTTCATCTTCAGTGCATCATTTCAAGCTAGGATAACTAAACATTGCCAATAGTGGTTCTTTAGGGACCTGCTTTAAAGAAAAAATAAGAATAATCAGTGACAAGCGTCCCAAATAGGCATCTGTAGAGGGCCAGACAGGTCATATAAATGAGTGAAGTGTAAACAATAGGGAGTGGTGGGGACTGTGGCAAATTGGAGAGCACATGGCTTTTTTGTGATACTTGCCCTCCCAGTGAATTCTGGGAGAGAATGGTGAAAAGGTAGGAGATATTAGCAACTTGGGCAGCAAGCGTGGGGGCTGGTTGGAGGTGGACAGTGCAAATGGGAGAGAGGGAGCAGAGGGAGGCAGGGTGCTGAGAAGAGAGAGAAAGTCACACCGACAACGGTCTTTAAAGCAATCTGAGAAGTGAGTTTTAGGCAACTCTGAGCCTTCCCTATAGTCTCTCTTCCCTTTACTTGGATAGTTTTAGAAGTGTTTTTTTAATAAAAAATTGTAAAGATAGTGGGATTACAGGTGACTTTGACTTTTTATGCTTTTTTGATATATTTTAAAAGAAAACCTTTTTTAAATATGAACTGGTGAGGGAGCTACACGTGCTGAGAGTAACAGGAGAGGAAGACCAGCAGGGCCACCGTCTGGGGCAGCGCAGGGGCTGAGGGGCCATCCCACCTTCGAGGGCCGAGTGAAGAGAATCAGCCGGGAAAGCAGATTCTGGGTCCAAGTGACAGCAGGGTCTGGGCAAATGGGGCCAGGCTGGGGGTCCAACAGCTGTGGGAGTGAGGGGTCACAGCCCCCAGGAATCCAGGGGGCTGGTGCCCACCATCAGTGGTTTAGGACAGCCTAAACTCAGCCTTAGGGAGCAGCTGGGGTCTCATTACAGGGTAGCCCTTTAACCCCTGGGAGGGCCCTGTCATCAGCAAGTGGGTCCCCAGGCTAAGAAGGGGCCTGATGTGCCCGACAGGCTCTTAGAACAAGACTCTGAAGCAAGGGTCTCAGCGTTCTTTCATTCATTCAAAAAAATATTAATTAAGCATCTACGATAATGGTCGTGTCTATTGAGGAGTAGTTTGTGTCAGCCGTTTTGCTAAGTGCTTTACAGGATTCATTTAATGTTCAGTACAGTTCTATGATGTACCATCCCCATTTTACAGAAGGGGCAACTGAGGCACAGAGAGGTTCAGTGACTTGCCTAAGGTCACACAGCTAAGATTTCTGGCCCCAGAGCCCACACTTTTACTATACTCTACCACCTTTCTGTGCTAGACACAGAGGAAAGGATGTGAAAAGGACAGATAAGGTCCTATCCTCCCAGAGCGTGCAGCCCCGAGGGAGAGGCAGACAAATAGACAGTGGATACACTGTAGCAGTGAGGCCTCAGCAAGGGCAGTACAAGCCCCATGAGAGCCCTGCTGGAGGATGCTCAGTCGGTCTGGAAAGGGCAGGGAATCAGGCTTATTGATGGAAGGTGTCTGCACTGAGGCTGGAAGAGCATGTAGGGGTGCACCAGGTTTGGAAGGGGTTGGAAGAGTGTTCTAGGTAGAAGGAACAGCATGTGCAAAGGCCCAGAGGTAAGAGACCCCATAGCACTGGTGGGGAACAGCCCCATATGGCTCAGGCACACATGCAGTTTGACAGAGGGTATGACTCGAGAGAGGCCGGAGAAGACAGCAGGAGCCCAACCTCAAGGGGCCTTGTTAAGAAGTTTGGACTCTATCCTGGGGACACCAGGGAGCTATTGAAAGGTTTACAGCAGAGGAGGGGCGTGATCAGATCTGCCTTTAGGAAGGAAGACTCTGCGGTGAGGGGGACCATCGGATTGAGGGGGCTGCGAGTGGAAGCAGAGACCAGCAGAGGCTCTTGCAGGTCCCCAGACAAGAGAGGACGTGGTCCTAACCAGGGCAGTGGCAGAGGGGATGGAGAGAAGTGGGGGACTCGAGAAACACTTAGGAGGAGGAAAGGGCAGTGTCTGCGATGGACTAGGTCTGGTGAGCCCTGGAGAGGAAGGTGTCCTGTTGCCTTCAGATCCCTGGCTTGGGCACCTGGTGGGTGGTGGTGCTGTTCGCGGGAACAGAGGCACTAGGCAAGGAGCATTCTGCGGGAAGAATCTTTTCCACATGAGCTGGGAAGGCCGTGCATGCTCAGACTCAGGAACTTGGGTGCGGACACCCAGAGCGATCATCTTAAATTTAGAGACTCCAGTGAGCTAACACGGCGGGTGACCTCGTAGGAAGCCCCACCAAAGGTTGGAGCCATGTTGCCCTCTTACCTGGGTGGGGCCTGACTTAGGAACTGAACGGGGTGGAGCCTGGTAGGAGCAGCGGTGGGGGGTGGGGGGGGGTTGTGGGTGGATATTCCCAACAAGGCAGAATGCTGAGCTGAGGACAGACGGGCACCCTCAGCAGGCGCAGGTCTAAATGGCTAAAATGACAGGGAAATCGGAGGATCTAGTGCTTAACGATGCAGGCCCTCCAATCAGAATGTCGGAGTTCAAATCCTGGCTTCTCCACCTATTACTAGCTTGAACAAGTCACTATAACTTCTTTGTGCCTCAGTTTCCTCAAATGCACACCCGACAGTGGTCCCGATCTCCCAGGACTGAATGAGTTTACACAGTGTGGTGCCAGCTTGCACAGTGCCTGGCACCTCATAGGTGTTCTGTAAGAGCTAGTTCTCTGTTCTTGGTTATTATTGGAGACGAGGGCAGGGAACTGGCTCATTTGCCACTGACCTGGGGAAGGAAGGGCTGAGGTTTCTAATCATCTGGAACACAGGGGCAAGGAGCAGCTCTTGTAAACCACTTCCACCGGGCAGGGAGTGTGTTGAGCCCCGAAGGAGGAGCGAAGGTGGGGTGGGTGGCACTCTTAGAAGCCAGGTGGGCAGCTGTGTACCTCTCGCACCTGAAACTTCTGAACTCAGGCTGTGGGTGAGTCTTCTATGGGGAAATGCTAGTTTTCATCCAAATAAGCTATGAAGATTTCCTATGACAAACTGACTTTCAGTGACTTGAGTGTTCCTTGATCGATTCTATTTCCTGTTTGGTCACCATCTCACCGATGAGTATTTGATCTCCATGGCCTCGCTGTCAGCTCTTACTAGCACTTTCCAGAAACAGAATCCAGACTTCACCCTTCTCTCCGCTAAAGCCACCCTTTTTCCCTTTCCTGTTCTAGATCCTCATTTCCTTAACAATAAAGAAATGTCCGATGTTACCTTTCTGGTAGAAGGAAGACCATTTTATGCTCACAAAGTGCTGTTATTTACAGCGTCTCCAAGGTATGTATTGTCAGTCTTGAAAGCGGCTGAATTGTGAGTGTGGCTGTCGCTCTGGCTGTTCTCTGGAGTTCGATTTTGGTGTTGTCTTCACTGGACTGGTCGGTTATCTTCTCAAAGTCAAGGATTCAAGAGTACAGGGCATTCGTACACCCGTGTTCGTAGCAGCGTTGTTCACAAAGCCAAAAGGTGGAAGCACCCGGGTGTCCATCGGTGGCTACATGGATAAACAAAGTGTGGTGTATACGTATATCACTCAGCCTTACTAAGGAAGGGAATTCTGACCCACGCTACAACGTGAATGAACCTTGGGGACATTATGCAAAGTGCAATAAGCCAGTCCCAAAAGGACAAATAGCATGTGAGTCCATTTGTATGAGGAACCTACAGTAGTCAACTTCAGAGAGACAGACAGTGGAATGGGGGCTGCCAGGGGCTAGGGGGAGGGGGAATGGGGAGTTCTTGTTTAATGGGCACAGAGTAAGTTCTGGAGATCGATTGCACAACAATGTGAATATGCTTAACATTACACTTAAAAACGGTTGAGATGGTAAATTTTGTTATGTGTTTTTTAGTACCATTAAAAGAAGGAGTACAGGCAGCCACTGGCGTGAACAGCGGCAGCTCTGTGGGACTTAGACCAGGCAGCGTTCCTCCGGGCAGATGGAGCCCCTACCAGGCGCAGAGCGTCCTGAGCAGAGCGCGGGTTGGGTTTTAGCTCCTCAGCCAGGTGCCCTCATGCAGTGTACACCCGAAACCTCATACACAGCAGGCTGGAAAGGTCTGCTCTCCAAATGTCGGGGAACTTTGGCATTAGCCACCCAAGTCTGGAAGCTTGCTTTTCCCTAACTGGAGTTGACAGTGGTGGATCTCACCCTCACGCTGGCCCAGCTACTGCCTGTCCTCCTTTCCATTTGAGCTGCGATTGGGCTGACCTCTTAGAACCACATGATCCAGGGACCTGAAGAGAAATCAGTGAAGCTGGGCACAGGAGAGAGTGATGCTGAAAGGAGGAGGCAGGTCTCCGGTGGGGAGTAGAGGATCAGGACACCGGGAACCCCGAAGCAGAACCCACTTCCAGGAAGATGAATGTGTGTGACCGGCCCTCCTGGGTTCCTAGAAGCATCCTGGCATCTCCAGTGCCCCTAAACTAAATATAAACCCCTGCTTTGCCACCACAAGAAAAACATGCTGTCCCTTGCATAGTCCTTGGTTGTGACACTGTAGAAAAACTGGATCAATATTGTACCAAAGTCAATTTCTTAGTTTTGACAAAGATGCCGTGGCTGTGTAGGATGTTAACGTTAGGGGAAGCTGGGTGAAGGGCATCCGGGAGCTCTCTGTGCTGTCTTTGCAACTCTTCTATAAATTCTATATTTCAAAATTGAAAGTTTAATTTTAAAAAAGACACATCTTGGTTTATTCCTAAATGTATTGATTATCAGTGTGTGAGTATCAATTGACAGGGTCTATACCCACAAGGAGCATATAGTTTAGTTGATGGCAGGAAAGTACCTCTAAAACCCCAGACAGAAGGTCATCCAAAGGTCGTCCATAGGAAGATCATCAAGTGGTCAGCAGATACTGATTAAATACCTACCGTGCCCCAGGTCCAGACTGGCGTAGGCTCTGAGGATGCAGCAGAGGTGGAAACAGCAGGAGTCCCTGCCCTCATGGAGCCAAGATGTGTGGATGGAGGAGAAGGGAGGACAGGAGCTGGAAAGCTCTGAGGGGACCAGGCTCAGGAAGGACTCTATGAAGGAGGCAGCCTTTGTGATGGGCCTGGAAATATGGACGGGGTTTTAAAAGGCATTCGTTCTTTTCCAATCACCTGTTTGAGAAACAATTTACCAGTTCAAAACGCTGTTTTGAACTTTGGAGTTTTAACCTCCAATTGGATTATGGCATCGTATCATGGGAGCATTAAATTAAGAAATCTGTGGATGTACCATTGTTGTATTTCAGGGTGGGGGGATACAAGATATTGCCTGTTTCTGTCGTCAGAGAGCTGAGTTTCTCGCAAGCTGTGGATGTGTTTGTGAGTCTTTCTCTCTCTTTCTTTGTGTTCTCGTTCAGGTTCAAGGCGCTCCTCTCCAGCAAACCAACAAATGACAGCACCTGCATAGAGATCGGCTACGTGAAGTACCCCATCTTTCAGGTGAGCCCTGCTGTGGCCTGGAATGCCGTGTGGTGGGCGCGCTCTGACCCTCACCCAGGGATTGGCCGATGCAATGAGTTGTTAGCCTCCTGCACTCCCGGCCTTCCCCCACTGCCCCTCCCCCTTAGCACCCATTCGTCCCTACAGCATTAATTGAGCACCTACTGTCTCCCTGACCCTATGCTGGCGCGTGGGGACACAAGGATAAAGGACATTCCTTTCCTGGGGTCTCACAGTCCAGAGGGGGCAAGTGAGTAATTAGTCAGTTCCAGTGGAATGTGGGGTGTACGAGAGGGGTGAGTCCACGTGCTGTGGGGAGTCAGACCACGGAAATTGGGGAAGGCCTCCTGGATGGGGTGTTTGCTGAAATAGTGTAGGCTGAGGAGAACCACAGGAAGGCTTAGGGCTTAAGAAAGGGGGCTAGAACATTCTAGGCGGGGAACTGCAGGTGTGAAGTCCCAGAACTGTGGCCCAGCCCAGTGTGATCAGGAGCCCGTGGACTCTCAGGGGATCCAGTGCATTGTAACACTGGTCTGAACCTAATGTCAACTGGAGGGGAGGGTTTCTTTGTCAAAGGCCGGATGACATTACCATGTCTCCTTCCGTTTGGCGGAAGTTGATGCCCTTAATGCTGGGTTTTGGTTTATGGGGCATTTCTGAGGGGGCGCGGTGGCTTTCTTCCCTTTTCTTCCTTCCTTCATGCCTGATTCATAAATCCCGCCCTGCAGTGACATTCTCACAGCTAATAGGAGTTCACGCCCCAGCCGGCTTTGCAGCCACGTTTCCAAAGCTCTGAGCCTCGAGCCTCTAGCCTCGGCCAGGGCGTGAAGCCTGGTCAGCTGCTTCCGTCCCTATAGACACAGGCCCGTGGGGGAGGGTGCTGACCCTCAGTGCTGTCCTCCCACCGACCAGGGTTCCTAAGCTAGTGTGAGTGTCCTGGGGAGGGGGTTTATACGATTCTGCGCAGAACCTGTTTCCTCTGGGTGAATTCAGGAAGGACAGCCCTGGGAGGAGTACACAAATGGGTGAGACTCAGGCCGCCTGGGGAGACTCATGTTCCAAGAGGGTTGACGGGATAACCGGGAGGCAAAGCCTGCGATGACCAAGGTCACGGGGTGGCCTCCTGACCTGGACTTCGAGGGACAGAGCTGCGTTCCAGGGTTGAAAGGCCACATTCTTCTGCTTAAACAGCTGCACTCTCCTGTTTAAAATCAATGTCCTTCCTGTGATTGGACACACAATCATCCAACCTTTCTGAGCCTCAGTTTCCTCAGCTGGTGGATAGGAGAGAGAGGCTGTTCCAGGGGGTGGAACAGCATAAACAAAAGTACAAAAGTGGGAGGTCATGGGTTGTATTGGAGGGAAAGTGGTTATCAGTCTCTTTGGCTGGGTCTTAAGGTATGCTGGAGACTGAAGCGAGCATGAGCTGAGTGGAGAAGGCAGGCCTGGTAGTGGCTTTTCTCTCCACCACTGACCCTGGTCCCCCAGATCCTGCTGTTCAAAGGGCTGCCAGGAAGCCACCATGCCCTCACACTAGCCCCAAAAGGCTGTTGAGGTGCCTGCATTTCCACCATTAGAGACACACTCCTTTGGTTATATTGAAACTTCAAAATAAAGAACCCTTCCCGAATAACCATGGGCAAGACACTGTCTTCTCTGAGACTCGTCTTCCCCATTTTTAACAAGTTAATCATTATCACCTGTAAGTTATGGGTTCCTAGAGAGATTAGTAAGTAGGACAACATGAGGAAACCTTCAACTTGGCCTCTGGCGCTTCATGGCAATTTCTAAGTGGGTGGTGGTGGTTCTAAGCCATTACGGATAAACTACCTGCCTGCTAAGCCCAAGACCCTGTAGAACAGGTTACTTTGGACCAAGCGTTGGGGAAAGGATGAAGGAGGTTTCCAAGGACAAGGCCAGCCTGGGTGAGCCGTCCCTCTGGGGTGGGGGTAGCAGAGAGCAGACTGGGGCCCCGAGGTGGGACTGGGGCATTGGCACGGCCCCAGACATCCCAGTGCCTGTTTCTGCCTAACCCCTCACCCCACTTTCTACTAAAAACAAAGTGGCCACAGGCTTTTCCAGAATGGCGGTGACTGTTGGGTTTGCAATTTTGCATGAAGCTGCTGCTTTGCTTTAGGGCTGGGGTGGGGAGGGCAGTAAAGAAGCCTTTATGTGGCTCCAACTGTGAATGAGGCACTGACCGCTGCTTGCACCTGGTTATTTGAATTATTCTTGCCATTTTTAGAGGTGAAGAAACTGAGGCCCAGAGAACTTAAATGGCGCACCCCAAGTCTTAGCGCTAGTTAGTGACAGAGCCAGGATTGGAACCAAAACCTAAGTTCTTGGTTCTGGAATACCCTTTCTGAGAGGGAACAGTGATCAGAACAGCTCCCATTTCTTGAGCGTTAGCCATGTGCAATGCTCGAAGCTGCTGGTTCTGAGCCTCAGCTGCACGTTGGAATCATCTGGGGAGCTTTGAAAATTCCCAGTGTCCAGGCTGTAACTCAGAATCTGGGCTGGGGCCCCGGCATCAGTATTTTGAAGTCTCTGCCCTCCTCCTATTATCCCGATGTGCAGCCAAGGTGGAGAACCAAGGCTCTAAGTTACAGTGGTTCTGGAACTTTAGCATGCGTCAGAATCTTGGTGGGGTTAGGGGGTAGGAGTTGCTTAAGATACAGAAAACTTGCTAAAATGCAGATTCCTGGGCCCGGCCCCCAGAGGTTCTGATTGTGTAGGCCTGAGGTGGGGCCTGAGAATTCATGTTTCTTACAAGAACCCGGATGATGCTGATGCTGCCAGTCCATGGACCCCACTGAGAACCATTGCAATAGCTATAGTTACATCATCTCATCTCACTCAGCCCTTCCAGCTGCCCCTCCAGGGAGCTCTCCCACCTTACAGACGGGGCACAGACTAAGAGAGGTGAAGGAAGTGGCCCAGGCACCCACAGCTCATCACAGCCACGCTGAGGTTCAGACCAAGGGCTGGGAGACTCCCAGACCTGGCGTCTTAACTGCCTCCCTCCTGTGGGGACTTGGGCCCTCCCTAAAAGTCACCAGCCCTGAGGAAAGCATCAGGCCCATTAGAGTCTGGAGCATGGGCTAGGAGCTGGAAAATGCGTGCTCCCCTGAGGGGACACTTCCGCCACTAAGCCTGGGACTAATTGGGGAGGTTCCTGTAATAAGAACCCGGCTGTAGTAGGCACTCAATAAATGTTCGCTGTGCGGATTCATTGAATGAGAGACCTGCCTGGGAAAGCAGGCCCCAGGGCACTCCCAGGCCTGTAATTGCTTCTGACTGGGGCAGGTTTCCTGGCCACGTTAGCCTCAAGTTACTGTAATGGGCAGGCAAGATTTAGCAGGCCCCGGGGACTTTTCTGCGTGCCCACCCCTTCCCCATAAAAGAAGAAAAGCCTCATTTGTGGCTTGAAATAGGCCAAGTAGGGCCGAATCCAACCCAGAAGGAGGCTCCCAGGGGCCTGTTCACTTCCCTTCCATGCTGACAGAAGAATTTTAGTAAATGAGACCGCTTTGAGTTCCCTCCCCAAAAGACTGTTTAACATCACAAGCAGGCAAGGACTGGACCCAACTGAGGCTGCACCTGGAAGAGGGGCCTCCACGAGGCTGCAGACGCCACTGAAGTCCCTGCTTCATGCAGGTTGACAGCTGCCAAGAAAAGCAACTCCATAAACAGAGCTTTCGGCCTAATAAGGGTTCATCTCGCCCTCTTGCAGAAAAAGTGAGTGCTGGCGGAGTCTGAGGTTGCGTGGGACAGCCCAATTTAAATTCCGTCAGCCCCAAGATCTCTATCCACTAAGGAGCAGTATTTCAAGTCAACAGCCCAACCTTGAGTAAATGAGATAACACGGAGAAATGGTTTGTAAATGGAGAGGCCCTATGTTCGGGGCAGTTATTATTATAGCTCTTATTGTTACTATTATTGGTTTGGCCTTTATAAAAGAGAGGTGCTAGCAACATAAATTGATTTTAATAAAGCCAATATCCCAACATTCACTGACATGGTATTTTAGATGCTTCTGACCCATCTGGGTGAGAGCGGGAGGGGAAACGATGCTGTGTTATTATTTCACACAGCCTCAGCCACCAGCATCAACGCATCACCATCTCTGCTACAGGCAGGTGGTCACAAAAGTCCAAAATCAGGACATGGGACATTCAGACACAAAAGAGGGAGGAGAGGATTCGCGTTTCTGGTTAAAGTGTGCTGGCTGCGTCACGCATTGTGAGAGGCACTAGGAGTGCAAAGATGGACAAGACGCCGTCTGTGCTCCCAGCCTGGGGAAATCACACTGCAGCCATGGGTGATGTGCTGCCCAACCCAGAGTGGGGTGCAGCGTGGAGAGCTGAGATCTGAGGCAGCTTCACCGAGGTGACCACTGTGCTGGATCCCGAAATAGGGGGCAGAGTTCAACAGGTGGAGGAGAAGGGCATCCAAGCAGAGAGGGATCAGCTGAAAGAGAAAGTGATAGGTTCTGATAAAGGCAAGGGGGTGGGAGTGGTCGGAGCCTAAAAGGCAGATGTTACCAAGATTAGGAGGAGGAAAGGGCAGAGCGGCAGATAAGTTCTGAACAAGTAAATTGACCCATAACAGCAGTATTCATAATGGCGAAAAAAACGGAAACAACCCAAATGTCCATCAGCTGATGAATGGATACACAAGATGTGGCACATCCATACAACAGGATATTGATCAGCAGTATATGGGACAACAGGGGCGAACCTTGAAAATAGCACGCTAAGTGAAAGAAGCCAGACACAAAAGAGCATGTAGTTGTATGATTCTATGTATACGAAACATCCAGAACAGATAAACCCATAGTGGCTGTCAGGGACTGCCCAGGGAGGAAATGGGAGCGAGGGCTAATGGGTGCAGGGTTTCTCCTGGGAGTGTTGAAAATGTTCCCAAGTTAGGTTATAGTGATGGTTGCACAACATAGCAAATACACTAAAAACCACTGAGCTGTACACTCTTAATGGGTGCATTTCATGTTATGTGAAATCTCTCTCAACGAAGCTGTAAGCGATATTTAAAAAAAAAACAAAAAACAATTGCTTTAAACACATGCATGCAAAAAGTAGATTGAGATCCGTCACAAAGGGTCTTGAATGGCCTAAGAAAGTGGCAGCGCATGGCAGAAGCACTACTGGAAAAATATTTTTGAACTTCAGAGAAAATTAAAGAGCTTAACATTCCTTCAGTTATTGCCACGGGCGAGGCCCCTCCTGGGCCTGTTGCATGTATTAACTCATTTAATCCTCATCCCGACCCCAAGAGGTAGGTAATATTATCCCCACTTTACAGATGATGAAACGGAGGCACAGAGAGCCTAACTTAATTTGGGTCACCCAGCTTTTAAGCAGCAGAGCCAGAGCAGAAACTGAGGCAGCCCAACTCCACGGTCCTTGCAATTAACCACTGCCCTATATTGGTCACAGACTATCAGAGCCTGAAGGGACCGTAGACGGCAGCCCAGTCTAAGCACCTCATTTTACAGGTGCCCAAAGATGGGATACAGCAAGTCTATAGATTTTTCCAACACAGCTGCCTTAGAACCAGGCAGGTGAAGTCGGTGTGTCACACAGGCAGAAGACAATAGGGAGTGGAGGAGACTGTTCCCAACTGGAAAGGGTACACACCACCTGAAAAAATTAACACTGTTTCATGGGTGGTGGTAACAGCCAAGTCTAACACATCTGTGGGCTTCATTCTACTTAAGGGACACTAGTTTTCAAAGCTCTGGGACTTTGCACACCATTCGAGCATCCTGAGTCACAGGAACCAAGAACAGCCTGGCTTGGACTGTTCACACCATCAGTGAAACATTGAAACCTGGACCCCTAAAGGCTTCACCTTGGATCTTGTCCTAAGTTGTAATAAGGAGCAGGTGGTCCTGTGGTAGCCCAGAGTCGTCCTCTGGGACTTAAATCAGAGACTTCTGGTCAAAGTGGGCCTTGTTCCCAGGGGGATGGCCGCTGCTGCAGCTTCTTTAAGCCACGCCACATGGCAGCAGTTTTGAGCAGCCTGATGGGGTGGAAGGTAAGAGGACAACAGTGATTGCCATCTATAGATGCGAGGGGACCATCCTGGGGAGCAGAGCTGAGAACTGTGTCATGTGGCCCTGGGGTTGACTTGGAGACAAATTGCAGCACGCTGTAAGGAAAGAAACCCAACCACAAAACCGTTCTAAATGGAACTTCTGGAAGGCAGCCATCAAACGGGGAATGGCGACCACTGGGAATGGGTGTGGGAGGGACTCAGGAACTAGCCTGAGGCTTCGACCCGGGGCCTGTAAGAGGCCTGTGACTGTGTGCTGTTGACGCTTGGCTCACTGTGTCCTTTCTTCCAGCTGGTCATGCAGTATCTCTACTACGGCGGCCCCGAGTCACTTCTCATTAAAAACAACGAGATAATGGAGGTAAGGAATCTTTCATGTTACGGGGTGGGTGGCACCTCTGTAAACTCAGTCACCGGCAGTGTCTGAGGGGCACTGTGTTGGGTTTCTTTTGGATGCAGGTTTTGGGGTCCTGCCTGCCCCCTTAGACCTCCCACGGGCTTCTCATCAGAGCCCCTCCCTGGAAGGCTGGGGTGCTCAGGGCGCCGGCCCAAACCCTTTTGGTAGCAACCAGCGAAATCCAACTTTAACTGGCTGTGGGGGTGGGACAAAGGAAATTTACTGCGGAGGCTGAGGCACAGCTGGGGCTCAGATAGCATCATCAGGAGCTATTTGCCGACTTCTCCCCTGTCATTTGTAAGAGAATTATCTGCAAACATTCCTCAAATCACAGCGTGTCCCTGGATGCAGAAGCTGAAAGCTGATTGCAGCGCTCTCCCTGCTCATTCGGGTCGACCATCCCTCATCCCGCAGCTCCTTGGCTCTGCTCCTCTCCTTCTACCTCTCGAATTCAGCCTGTTCTCCCCTCCCCTGTCCAGAGGGCTCGTGTCCGCCCCTTCTGTCCAAGGCCAGGGTTTCCTCTGCTCCTTCCTAGAAGTGGAACTCTTGTCAGTTTTCCTACTCAAAGCTGAGAGCTTTGAACCAGAAGCCAAAATCACTCGGATAATCCTGAGCAGAAGAGCCGGAACCCCAGGCAGGCCTCTGAAGGCCAGGGTGCCTGGCTGATGAGAGATGTCAGAACACTATCCATCATTCAAGAGGCAACCCCACGCGGTGGTTAGAACGGGGACTCTGGGCCAGGCTGAGTTTAAATCCAGGCTCTGCCCCTTCTGAGCTGTGTGATCTTGGACAAGTGATTTAACCTCTCTGAGCCCCAGTTTCCTCACCTATAAAATGAGGATAACAATATCTACCTCACTAGGTTTTGAAGAATTTAAGAGTTCCTATTTATAAGATGCTTAGAACAGCGCCTGGCACATGGTGAGAGCCATAAGGACTGTATTCCCATTTACCCTTTTCTTACTCTGTGAAACCTTCCGTGGTCACTCTGCCCCCCCCATCCCTCCAAGAGTTGCCCTCTTGTCTCTCTGGACTGCTCCTCAGATACTTCTCCACGCCAGGACCAGGCCCCAGTCTGAGGATGAGGCCTCTTCTGTAAACAGTTTCTTTTAATTATTTTAAAATAGAAATAATGAGCATCCACTTAAATCATGTAAATAATACAGAAGCGCTTGTCATAATAAACAGCTCAGCCAGCCACGCTCTGCCGCCCCAGTCCTTTCCCCAAAGGCAATCCCTTTGAACTCTTGCTTGAGCTGTTCCTTCCCCTCCCCAAAGCCTGTCCCTCTCTCAGCACACATCCGTGGAGCATCTCCAGCCGGGCGCCGCGCTCAGGGCCCAGATACAGCAATGATGCGCCTGGACAGAGAGCCCTGCCCTCCTGGCCTCTGGTGAGGGCGACAGACATGACATCATGTCTGGTGTGAGGAGGACTAAGACGGGGTCAGGGGGCCAGACAGCGGCAGCCTGGGGGTGGGGGAGGTGATCTGGGAGGCTTCTCTGGGGTGGCATTCTCATGGAGACCTGGATGAACAGAGAGAGTGAGCCACGTCGATATCTGTCTTGCTAAATAATGGCGTTCACCCTTATTTCTGGACATAACAGTTTTAGGCATTTTTGCTTGACCTTCTGCTAGAATAGAGGTGAATTTGGTTCACTTCAACCCCCAGCATAGATTTGGTCGCTCTTAGTCCTCTAGGGTTGCCTTTGTGCTTTAAAGTGATGTCCTGTCACCTTTATTCCCAGTCCCTTCACCTTGGGACACCATAGTGGACGTTGAGGATTCCTCTCACCATTCATGCCTTTCTTTTCACCTCCCAACCTCTAACAGACTCTTTTGATGGTTTTCAGCTCCTGTCTGCAGCTAAATTTTTCCAGCTGGAGGCTTTGCAACGACACTGCGAGATTATCTGTGCAAAGAGCATCAATACGGACAACTGTGTGGATATTTACAACCACGCCAAGGTAACCCACCCCACTCCGCGGCCCCGAGCACACGCCGCGCACTGAAACGTGACAGGCTTCTCCTTCACGGGCACACTGTGTCGGGGCGGAGGGCAGATGCTGGCCTGTTCACTCGGGCCTGAGCCACCTGCTCTAGAAAAGATGCCTTTCCCTTCGTCACGCCTCTCCAGAATGCAGTGAAAGCAGGCACCCAGCAGTTTCAAAAGCAGAGTTGTTCTCACACAGTGCTTCTCAAACTCTAACGTGCATATGAATCACATTGCAGACTGATTCCGCGGGCCTGCGGTGGGCCCTGGGTTCTGTTTCTAACAAGCTCCCAGGCTGAAGCCTCATGCTGCTGGTCTAAGCCACACCGTGAGTAGGAAGGTTCTGGAACAGTGGTTCTCAGAGTGGGGCACCCAGTCCAGCAGCATCAGCATCTTCAGGGAACTTGTTAGAAATATGAAGTCTAGGGCCCCACCCCACACCTCCTGAATCAGAACCTCTTGGGGTGGGCCCAGCCATCCCAGGCTTCGAAAGCCCTCCAGGTGATTCTGGGGCATCCTCAAGGTGAGAAACGCTCTTCTAAAACTGTGTAGAATCACTTAAAATCTCTGTGCTGAGCCCTATCACAGACCAATTAAATCAACCTCTGGGGGCGGAGCCTGGGAAAAAGGTGTTTTTCAAAGCTTCCCAGGTGATTCTCAGATGTGGCCAAGGTTGAGACAGGTTGTCAGCACTGGAGGGGGTCCAAGGAGACCTCCTAGTCAGGTGGACCCAACACCTGACTACTGAGCAGAATCACCTGGGGAGAATTTTGAATCTCTGTTCAGCCCTCCACCCGCAATGATCTCTGCAGGGGTGCCCAGGAATCTGTATTTTAACAAGCTCCCAGGGTGACCATTGTGACTTAAACCCTAGGGCCAATGTTCACTCTGATTTTGGGGAACCACTGATTTCATCCATTTCATTTCACAAGTGGGGATACTGGAACCAGGAGAATTAAACTAATTTGTCCAATTGCCACTTCGTTTTGTTAAATGCGCGCAGGACAGGGGTATTAGCATTTGCTAGGAAGAAACCATGAGATGCGTTAAGATCCAGAATTAATTTAATCTTCTTTTGCATAACTGGAGCTCAGTACACATGCCTCCCGCATCCACAGCTCTGTGGAGTCACAGCTGACGTGAATCACACTCTCATTGCTCATTGTGAAAAGTCAGGTTGCGTTTGAGATGTTATTTTCTGACTTAAGCCAACATCCAGTGAGCCCTTTTCATGTGCAGGCGCCTGTGCTAAAAGCCTGGTTGCATCGTCTTTTTTTAATCCTCACCACAACCCTTGTAGGTAAATACTATCATTAGTCCCATGTCATCATAAGGAAACTGAGGCATAGAGAGGTGAAGTAACTTACTTAAGGTCACACAGCTATTACTGAAATTTTTTTTATTGAGGTTAAATAGACATAACATGAAATTTACCATTTTAACCATTTCTAAATGTACAGTTCAGTGGCATTAAGTACACTCACATTGTCGTGCAGCCATCACCACCATCGATCTGTTTTCTTCTTCCCAAACTGACACTTGGTACCCAATGAACAATAACTCCCCATTTTCCCTCCCCTCAGCCCCTGGCAACCACCATTCTATGAATTTGAATTATATGAATCTGTCTCTATGAATTTGACTCCTCTAGGTACCTCATATAAGTGGACTCATACAGTATTTATCCTTTTGTGACTAGTTTATTTGACTTGCCATAGTGTCTTCAAGATTATTCCATATTGTAGCATGTGTCAGAATTTCCTTCCTTTTTTTTTTTTTTTGGAGGAAGATTAGCCCTGAGGTAACATCTGCCACCAATCCTCCTCTTTTTGCTGAGGAAGACTAGCCCTGAGCTCACATCTGTGCCCCCCATCTTCCCCCACTTTATATGTGGGACACCTACCACAGCATGGCTTGGCAAGCGGTGCCATGTCCGCACCCGGGATCCAAACTGGCGAACCCTGGGCCACCAAAGTGGAACGTGCGCACTTAGCTGCTGCACCACTGGGCCAGCCCCAGAATTTCCTTCCTTTTTAAGGCTGAATAATATTCCATTGTGTGTATGTACCACAATGTGTTTATCCAGTCAGCCCTCAGTGGACACTTGGGCTGCTTCCACCTTTAGCTACTGTGAATGATGCTGCTGTGAACAAGGGTGTGCAAATGTCTGTTTGAGTCCCTGCTTTCAGTTCTTTGGGGGATGCAGCCAGAAGTATAAACCTAGCTTTGTCTGACTCCAAAGCACAAGTTCTTGACCCTGTGTTTACTGTCTGGCCTAATGAATGTTTGAGATATTTGCAATAATCCTCAATACTCAAAAAAGGTCTTCTGATTGGTGCCAGGCTACTTCCTACACTCTCACACACACACTGGGTGTTTCGGTTAAGTGAGAGTTTTGCCAAAATCTGGTTTCTCATGACATGGCAATTTTTTTTTTTTTTAATTTTAAACTGATTACTGTGCAGAAAAGCATCCAGAGAGACTCTGTGTACCTGGGACGAAAGCCTGATCAGTCTGTGGTCCTCCACCTGCTCCCCTAGCCACAGACACTCAAATTGCCCTGTGAACCCCACATCCACAAGTGGCTTTTCCATGGCCTGTCACCTTGGCATCAAGGCCTGCGTTCCACAGTTCCATTTTAATCACTTCAGGCTCCTTGGCGGGCAGCTTCTGTAGTGTATCTTGTTATTTAATATTGTGCCCTGATGCAGTGTGAGCCCAGGGTAGGAATACGTTTGTGCTACAGCCTTAAAATACCAATGGCAGAGAACTCTCTTTCATTTGTCTATCTTTGCAGCCAGAGCTTTGCTTTTTACAGACGCCAGCCTCTGCCTGGGCCTCCCAGGCCACATCCTGGAGTGTTTCCTATGCAAACGTCCGCCTTTGGTGCTATTTGCATGGAGGCCAGGGCGAGACCAGCAGCCCCTGCCCTTTCTATGCTCTGCTTCCCCTGCGCTGTGGGTACTGCAGCGACCCCTAGTGATCACATGCCATGTGCATTCTCTTCCTGGCAGATTGTGCTACAAATTGGTTTAGTAAAAAAAGATGGGAAAAAAAAGACACCATCACTTGGTTTAAAACCCCAGGAAATGCAGGCATTAGATGCTAACAACCGTGTTCCAAATGTCAACCAAGCCTTGGCCGCATAAGCTACGCTCATCTCACCGTTGGAAACAACTGTGGGATTTATGCAGACAAGAAGTCCATGCCATAAATGCACGGCTTAGCCATCTTTGTTTCTCCTAGCAAAGCTGTCCCGAACTATTCAGTCATGAAAAAGAGGCGCTGGGGCTTCTCATGGTCCCTTCAAGGGTGTCTTTCACCTTTTGAGAAAAAGAACCAGCTGGGTCATCAAGATGAATCTAAGCTAAGACAGTTAGCTCAACAGTGGGCTGTGCTGGAACGAACATAGACTTAGAAACCGGGGGATTCATTCACTAGTGTTTATTTAGCACCCACTGTTCACCAGAAACTGTATTCATCTGAATTTAATAAATTAGTAAGATGTGGTCTCTGCCCTTGAAAAAATTATAGTCTAGGACAGGGGTCAGCAAACTTTGTAAAGGGCCAGATAAATATTTTCACACGGGCCACACTGTCGCTTTTGTACCTGTCAGTTCTGCCGTTGTAGTGCAAAAGCAGCCATAGACGATATGTAAATGAATGGGTGTGGCTGTGTTCCAATAAAACTTTACAAAAACAGGTGGTGGGCCGCATTTGGCCCACAGGCCTGTAATTTGTCAACCATTGGTCTAGGAGATGAGAGTGCCAGTCCCAGATCTGTCAGTAATTAGCTGAGTGGAGGTAGGCAAGTGTCTAACTGGATAGTCATTATCACCAAATATGAATGTGAGTATTTATTATGCTTATTATTCTTCACTTACACTAACTTGTGATGAGTGACAGTGACATCCATATACAAAGCAAGTGGCTAGGTGTGTGGGGGGGTTCTCTCTGTGTCTACAGAATCAAAGATAGGCATCTCTGAGCCTCAGTTTCCCCACCTGTACAATGAGGCCTTTTACTCTGTGCCTCTAAGAGCAGGGTTCCTATTGTAAGAATGGAAGCATTCCTAAGATCTCTCCCAGCTCCAGGATACTATGCATCCAGTGAACATTTGGGTGATGATAAGCCCACTCACCTCATAAACCTCACCAGGCCCTCTTGGCCCCTTGGAGACCACGGAATCCTCTAGTGTGTCTGCGTCCTAACTGTGCCGAAGAGCGTGGTACCCTCTCGTTCACTCCCCTCACCTTGCAGCTTGGGAAATGGAAGCATAGAGAAGTGAGTTGACTTGCACAAGGTGGCACATGGTTTTTATGCACGTGGTTGCTGCTGGCTTAGTGAATTAGCACATGGCGTCAGTGAGTTCAAGGTTACAGGATTGGTCCTTCTATGGGCCAGTTAGCTAGGCTAGGTTCTGTAGTTACAGTCCACACCCCTTATCCCAACCTGGCCACCTACTGTATCCATGTGGAGCACTGGATACCAGTTAGTGAGAAGGAGAATAATAATTATAAATAGTTTACATGTTATAATAACAGCTAACATTGAGTGAGTGCTGACTGCCATCAACCATTGTTCTAAACACTCCACGCATTATCTCATTTCATCGCAATGACAGACTATTAGATATTATCATCACCCCCATTTTATGGGTAGGAATTCTGAGACACAGAGAGATTATATAATTTTCCCAACAGCCAATGGCTAGTAAGTGGCAAAGTCTGGAATAAAAACTCAGGCAGGTTCTAGAGACCCCTCCGTTAGCTGGCTTCCCAACCTGCCTCCCCCGAGGGTGACAGATGGTAGAGTCCTACCATAAATCATATTCCACTGAATTCTCCCAACAGATCTGTGATGCAGATGTCATAATTCCTATTTTGAAAATCAGGAACGTAAAGCGAAAGGCCAGGTGACCCAGCCCTGGTCACATATTTGGAGAGATGGGGGAGCCCCAACTTGCCTCCAAGTCTTCCAGCTCATTCCACCATAGCCTGTCGGCACTGCCTCGTCATTGTTCCACCATTTCATGTCCAACAACTTAAAGGGCGTCTCTGGTTTAAAGGACAGGATCGTAGAGAGTTCAGAAGGATGATCCAGCATTTAGATAATTTAGATGATCCAGTATCTAAATAAAGTAGCAGGATGTCATCTCAAGGAGCAATTAGCACTTCTGAGCATTCAGTTCATTGCAGGAGAGAAACTCACAAGTTTTGAAAACTGTAGAAAAGTTTGGAAGACAGATAGCCAACCCACATATCCACATTTACGTCTGTGTCTCAGACATAGATTCCTCCACCAAGCGCAGTCACGAGGCTACACACCTGTCCTCTGATTAAGGGACCAGGCTGGAGGCAGCGTCTCAATGGTTAAGCATGCAGCCTTAAAGATTTGAATTACCAGCATTCAGTTCCTGGTTGTGCCCTTGACATGTCGTGTGAATTTTTGTAAGTTACTCTCTTGCCTCTGTTTCCTTGTCTGTAAATTGGAGGTGGTAATACACCTGCCTCAAGGAAGGTTGAGGATTCGATGAGATGATGCCCGTGAAGTGCCTAGCAAGGTGCCCAGCACATGGTAAGCTCCCAATAAATGATCGCTGTTCGTATCATTATTCTGAGAGTTAACTGTTCGTTCATACATTTAACAAATACTTATTGTCTACTGTCTGCCAAGCCCTCTGCTTGTGCGTATACCAGTGGACCAGGTCAACATGATCCCTTCCTTATTGGTTTAGTCTATTGGCAGTCAGGTCTCTAGATCAATTTCTCAACCTCAGCTCTGTTGACAGCTTGAGGTGCATAATTCCTTGCTGTGGGGACCATCCTATGCTTCATGGATGCTTAGCAGCATCCCCGGTATCTACCCATTAGATGCCAGTAGTACACATACCACCGCCACCCCCAGATTGTGACAGCCAAAAGTGTCTTCAAACTTTTCCAAATGTCCCCTGGGAGGCAAAATCACCGCCGGTTGAGAACCACTGCCCTAAATGCAGTGGGTAGGTAGGCAGTGCCCACTCATAGGATTGTTGTGAGAATTAAATGAGTTAATACTTGTAAAGAGCTTAGAACTGTGTCTGCAACTCCATTAGGGTGCCAGTTGTCTATAGTGTAACAAAGAAACACAAAACCCAGTAGTTAGAACAGTGAGCACTTATTTGGCACATGGGTCGAGGGGATGGCTGGAAGGTTCTTCTGGTCTCAGCAGGCCTTGCTTCTGAGGTCAGCTGGCGGGTCAGCCGTGGTTTGCTTTAGTGAGCCCTGCTGGGCTCTGCTGCTGTCTCTCCTCTCAGCTTCACATGGTGGTTCACCCTCCAAGCTGGCTAGCCCAGGCTTGTTTCCGTTAGAAACAGGGCTCTGAGTGAGAGCACAGAAGCACACAGGGGGCCACTTGCAGCTAGCTCAGAATTGGCAGCTCTCACTTCTGCCATGTTCTATTGGCCTGAGCAAGTCACGAGGCCAAGTGGTGGAGAAATAGACTCCAGCCCTTTGATGGGAAGAGCTGCAAAGTTACGTCTCAAGAGTGTGAATACAGCTAAGTGTGGAGAATGAGGGCCATTTTTGCAGCCCATCTCCCGTCATAGGGGTTCTCCATCCTTCTAGATGAAAGCTGTCGGGTGCATTGCAGAAACGTAACCATCTCCTGCTTCCTCTCCACTCTCCACAGTTTCTTGGAGTCACAGAGCTCTCAGCATATTGTGAAGGCTACTTTCTCAAAAACATGATGGTCCTCATCGAAAACGAAGCATTCAAGCAGCTCCTGTATGACAAAAATGGCGAAGGGACGGGCCAGGACGTGCTGCAGGACTTACAGAGGACGTTGGCCATCAGGATTCAGTCAATCCACTTGTCGTCTTCCAAAGGTTCTGTTGTCTGAAACGCCCAGCGGAGGGAACGCTCCCCGGGAACTTCCCAGATCTCCTGCTACATTGGCCTCACACAAACACATACAAATCCCACGTGGCGTCTGATTTTGGCCAAGGAGCTGCCTCTATGGCCTCAGCTTCTCTTGAATAAGCAAACTCAGCTCCCATGTGTTCCTGTTGAAAAACGAAGGCTATTCCACCGGTCTGCAGATCAGCTCGCAGCTGGGTCCGGAGCTTGAAGGTCAACATGGGGCAGCCAAGCTAACCCCAGTCTGAGCACCCCTGGGGCACTTGAACACCCATTGTGGGGACCACTGTCGAAAGGATGGATTGAGAACTAAGGGTCCTTTGGTTTCCAGGTTGACAGTTGGAGAACTTTACTGACCCCAAAGAGCATTGATTACGCATTAAAGACTTTAGCAGCTGTGGTTCAGCAAGAGTCAGGCATGGTAGCGAATTGGTGAGACTATTACCAGTAACGAAGAAATAATTTGGCAAATTTTTAGGGGTGGGAACTTTTTAAAATGTTCATAAAAAAAACAAAAACAGGGCAGCCTTGTAGTTTAAAATATATTTCTAAAAGCTTCACAGTTCATTTTCAACTGAATTGTGTTTAGGGATCTGTGTTTTGAGGTTATTTTTTTTTTCTTTTTTTTTAAAGAAAAACAGTAAGTCACAGGTCCACACTGTATAACATGCATCTGACAAGATATTGCCGATATTCTATACAAGGTGAAATAATCTGCCTTAGTGATCATGGTTACATAAAAAAGGTGCACTGCCAATAATTATCCTAATTCAGTAGTTGAAAACAGCCTGCATGCTAATCGTGGTTTCGGGATGAGATTTAAATGCCCCCACGTAACAAAACATGCGTTTGCATGGGCCTGAACCTGTGAAATGTTATGTTTGCGCTTCATTTTTTGCCAAGATAAAAATGTTCCATCACTTCTTGCTAAAAGTCCATCTGGTGAAACTAACATATCCATTTCTTCTCCCAATTACGAATGAGTCTGGGATGCCTTTGCAGAAATGTCTTTATAGATGATGCTGAATGGGGGGTGGGGGGGAGCACGTCCGAGAATTTACTATTAATCCCAGAGTTTTCTCTGTATTCTCAGAAGATGTTAATAGTTTGTTACTAGCCAGAGAATATGACTATGCTAGATTATTTTTAAAGATGAAACATATATGATAGGATGGATTCTTTCTGTATTCTGAGAGTGTACAGTATAGGGTTATCTATAATGAAAGTGTCTTTTGACAGGGTTCCGTTTGCTCTGCCATATATTATAAGCAAAACAGATTGGTGAGGTGCCACAATATTCCAAATAATTTTTGAGTTGCTGCCTTTTTTCTCGTCCTTTCATTTGAAACCTAGATACATGCAGTAAAAACTAGGAGAATGACTTTTACCACTTTGGGATGACAAAGTTTCGTTGATAAACCTATTTCCTAGCATGCCTTCGGGAAGTTGTGTGCAGACCCTAGATTCTAAAGGAGCTGCTCTTCATCCATCGAGCTCGCTCCCTGAGCCATTGTTCAGAGGACCGGTGTCCAGTCCTGTTTCTTGAGTCTGACCCGTGGAGTGCATGGGCCACGCTGTCTACAGTACTGGCTCTCCTGGATGCTAATACATCATCCACTTGGTCATTTACCATCCTCCCCAGGCCCCACCATCAAATGAGGAAAGGGGAAAAAAACTGCCTGCAGGGGAGTCCAAGTCACAGATGCACAGCACGTGTGTGAGCCGTCACTGTCTCCTGCCTCCGTCGTGTCCTCAGAGATGCTACGTGGATGTTTCCTTAGCCTCGACTGACTTCCTTGTGAATGTCTAATGCCAGTTCAGGGTCTCCAGGCGTTGATTTGTACGGTGGCAACTCTTGACGGGCTTCTGTTATAGTTTGGTGTGCTTTCTCTGTCATTAAAAGCAATGATTTTCCCAAGCTGTGCATCGTTTGTATGGTGTGAGCGAGCACTTCGCCCAACACTTGGAGCCAGAGAACTTCACCCAGTTAAGAGACTGGAAAATGGCCCCACAGAAGAAGTCTGCAGGGGAAATTAAGACATGAGATGAAAGATAGGTGCTCCTGTTGCTGACAGTGGGCCGTTACCTGTCTACTCTGAACTAGAGCTTGGCTGGGAAAGCTCCAGTCCTCTGGGTCTGTGTCCACCTCTGGGTGTTGCCCTTCCATTTCCTTCTCTTCAGGCAGAGGAACTGACAGGTGCCGGCTCCCAGGCCACTGTCTTAGAGCCTCTTCCTACTGCAGCTGACTCGCCTGCAGAGGGTGACGTTCTGGCTGGCATTTGTGGCCTTGATGAAGCTTTTTGGGGCTGAGGGGATGGAGGAAAACAAGTTCTGTCAACAAGGTGCACCCCCTGCCTTGCCCCCGCAAGGGCCAGCATGAATCCATGCTCATGGATAGTGGCATTATACTTGGGTGGGGGTTGGATGTCCCGGTGGGACAAGCTGGGTGTCATCATCACTGAGGTCAAACCAAGTCCCCAGCTGGTCCTGACCCAGCCTGGGCCCAACCCAGGTCTGTGTGGGGATTAATGCCTCTGGTTCCTCCGCAGAGGCCTACAGGAAGCCTGGAAACCTGGCCAGTGAGGCTGGGCAAACAGCTGACATCACTAGCACCTTCCAAAAGTGACTACTCACCCCTGCTTAGTAGTTGGGGTCTGTTTCTTCTTTAAGACGCAACCGAAGCCATGAAGAGCCAGGGCCCAGAACTCTGAGTCAGGCCAGGAGAACAGAAGGTCGATTATTTTTGTGCATCCTCCTCTGGGGAGCCTCAGGGTGAGTGAGCCACTGGATGTATTCCCCTTGGAAAGATAAAGTGTATGCTGTGGCCTTTGCCTGTTGCTTGTCTGGTAGACAGCTTTGTCATTCACTTCTTAGCAAAGCCTGCACAAGGACCCCTTAGCATCTGGGGGGAGGAGGGGAGCCTGCCTGCCTGCCACAAAGCTCCCCTCCGCTCCTTCCATTTGCCAGGAGCAGCTGTAAGTACGTGCTTGCAGTCACCCAAATAAACACAAAGGCTCCACTCGGCTTCTGCTGCCCCTGCCCCATGTGGAATCTGGCTTCTATATACCATGTTCGAGTGTCATCCATGCTCCCTGGAAGGAGAATCCTCCACCCCAAACGGAGATCAAGGCTTGAATTCCCATCACGGAGGGGCCCAGGCGGAAGCTGGAAGGAAGCGCCGTCACGCCTCAGGGTGGGGTTGAATGGAGGGGCTCTCAGATCTCCACCCCTGAGATTCTGCAGTTCTGTGGTTCCCTTTTTGTAGCTCACGTTGTTTTTCCCGGGAAGCCCTAGGCAGAACATGTTACTCCAACTGGGTTTCGTTTCATCCACTGTTGTCTGATCGAGTCGGTTTTATCACATAGGGTTTTACTAACCTCAGGCCATGCGCCACGGCACAGCATGGATAAAGGGGTGAGGATCCTAGATGGTTCTCTGAGAAAATCTCCTATATCACCAGACGTGGGTTCCCTGCCTTCTTCCAAAATCAGTGCTCCTCCCCCCCCCCCCACCCCACCTCACCTCGAGTTTGCTGGCTTGCGTCACAGATCGAGGGTTGCAAGAAGTGGCCACATCCTACCACTCCTGACTCCTTTTCCTACCGGCCCCTACACAGACACCCTCCGAGACTAGCAGACCACTTCTTAGGCTTCTCAGCTTGAGGGTTCAAGTAGGGAGGCGTCCACTGAGCCCCTTCTATGCAGTACCCGCTGCTGGGCTCTGGCTCCACACGTTCCAAGCCAGTCCAGCCCCTGACCAGCCTTGAGACACTGGGCAAGTTAGTTTACCTAGTTTTCGTTTTCCTCTTTTGAGAAATTGAATGTAACTAACAGGATTGTTGGGAGGATTAAAGGAAATATTTTGTATGGGTCCTACACAGTTAGTAGCAGAAAAAAGGTATTTCCAAACTTCTAAGACCGAGCAGAGAGAAGGAGAAATTGACAACTCACACAAGGAAAGGAAGGTTAATGATTTTGCCCATTTCTAGAACTTTCTACTGCAGCAATTCCCATGGTGGTTTGTGATTCTCTAAGATTTTGCTACTTAGTCCAGGGGATGTGGAGAAATTCCCCCAAAACAGCTCCATTGCGAGCCAATACTGATGGCCTAGAGGTTAAAGTTCACCACTCTCACCGCTTCTGCAGCCGGGGTTCACTTCCTGGTCACGGAACCACGCCAGACATCTGTCAGTTGCCTTGCTGTGGTGGCGGCTCATATAGAAGAACTAGAATGACTTATCACTGGGATATACAACCATGCACTGGGGCTTTGGGGAGAAAAAAAAAGAGGAAGATTGGTAACAGGTGTTAGGGCCAATCTTTCCCTACAAAGGAGAAAAAACCCAGCTCTATTGCAATCCTAGTTCCTAGCACTGTCAGTGATCAAGAAGTGTTTAAGTCAATGAAAGCCAAGTTCAACTAGATTTTCTTTCATATAAATGCTATAAATATTTCATATATTTTCATAGAAATAGTAAACATAAACTATATAATATATAGAAATACTAAACATACTTTCCTATAAATACTATATTTACTAAATATTAGAGTTGCAGGGACCAGCTCTCCCAAACTCCTCATCTACTCAGAAATGTGAGACTCAACATTGGTCACTCATATGACATGAGTCTAAGGCCCGAGGCCCCACAAATGAGTGAGCAGACAGACCCGCTGGGGGACTCTCCGTCCAGCGCTGGGGACCATGGCTCCTTGGAGAGGAGGAGTATAGCCACAAGTCCCCAAATGAAACTAATTGCTAGATGTCAACTCCAGAAAAATCCGGATCGCTGTCCTCATCAAGTCAGCAGCTAAGTCCATGTCCTTTGCTGCCCATTGAGTGTGTGGACACTCATCCCCCTGCCCTCCACTGAGAAATCTCCCTGGTGAAACTTCGTGTCCTTTCTGTTCCTCCCAGCCTGGCCAACGCCTCGAATCAGGCAGCACGTGCCTTCGGACAGGGCTGTTGCAGAAGCCGCTGTGATGCCTATTTTTTCACCCTCTTTAAAAATAACCCAGCAGATTTTAAACTTCCTGCCTGGTGGGAAAAAAAAAATAGAACTCGCACTCAGCAATCACAGAGCACGTTATTTCCCATTGCTGATGAGGCAGGCAGATAATGAGTGCCCTGCGAAAGGACACATCTCCGAGTTTAGCTCTGAATGTGAAAAGACAATCTGTCTGCCTGAATAAGCAATTAAAAGAGATGCCCCAATGTCATTGGTGCACTCTTTGGATGTTGCTTTTCAGAGTTAACCTGCAGATGAGTGAAGTTTAACGCCATCTCACACCTCTGGGACTAGGAGCTGCAAAGAGAGGAGGAAGGTAGTGAACAGAGGGCTCTGGGCTGGGCACCAGATCTCAACTCTGGTCGCGTTGCTGCCATTGGCTACTTGGGTGACCTTGGCTGGACCTCTTCTCCACTTTGGACCTGTTTCCTCAACTCTAAATGGGAGTCTTTCTGAGCTGATGTTCTCTGCACCTGCACTGGGACATGTCACACTTCTTTCACTACATTCGTATATTAGAACCTTGCAGTAACACTATTTAGTGTGATAGAACATTCTGGATTGCATCCAGGAAGACTTAGGAAAAGGAACCTCAGATAATGATGATGTCTTCGGTAAAACAGGCAGGAAACTGAATGAGAGCCTTACCACAAGGCTGCAAGGATATTTTATTATAAGGATGCGTCTCACCAGATCATAGCTTCATGAGTACCATCTCCTTTCTGTTTTGGTTTTTTTTTTTCACTTTTTGTTTTTAAATAATTTTATTTTATAGATTCATAGGAAGTTGTAAAGATCGCACAGAGAGGTCCCGTCTACCCTTCACCCAGTTTCCCCCAACAGTTACCTCTTAAATACCTCCAGTACAATATCAAAACCAGGAAACTGACATTGGCACAATGTATGTGCATAGTTCTACACCATTTTGTGACGTGTGTAGATTTGTTTAACCACCACAATCACTATTCCATCACCACAAAGATCTTACCCCCTCCCTCCACACATACCATGCCCAACCCCTGGCAACCACTGGTCTGTTTTCCATTTCTACAGTTTTGTCATTTTGAGAATGTTATGTAAATGGAACCGTACAGTAAGTGGCTTTCTTCACTCAGCTCAGTGCCCTTGAGATCCATCCAAGGATGTTGCAGTTATTGAGAGGCTGTTCCTTTTTATTGCTGAGTAATATTCCCCAGTGTCTCATCTCCTTTTAACCAAGTACACGGGAATGGCAGGAAGTATGGCAGTGAGACAGCATGGCTCTGGCAGCTGACTCTGGTTATAGCTCCCAGAAAACAAGTATGTCTCTTGAGAGCTGGACATGACTTTCTCATCCTGTAGCATCAAGAGGAGACTGTCCTATGATGTTAGTCCGACAATTTGGTGTTAGTGATGGATCACAGAGATCCACTGCTCCCACCTGAGCTAAATGGCTTTTCGGCTCTACAGTGAGGTCCTTCTGTGATTGACTGACTTTCCCAAACATCTCACGGATGGCGTAGGGAACACTTCTCAAACTCAATCTGTAAGCACATCCCTGGGGATCCTGTTGAAATACAGGTTCTGAGTCAGTGGGGCTGGGTCAGGCTTGAGACTCAGTGTTTCTAACAAGCATCCAGGTGATGCTGATGCTGCTGGTCCAGGAACCGCTCTTTGAGTAGCGAAGGTGTAGAGTATTGACAAATAGAAATGGCAAGCAATAGGATATGCTGGAGTATAAGAGGAAGGCATTTGGTGTAAACCTAATTTGGCCTGACTGCTTTTTTCCAAAAGGGCCTGACATGGCCATCAAGCACGCATTGTATATCTGCGTAAACATTTGCCATGTCCCAAAGACAAGAACAAAGGCCCTTAAGATAAAGGTACAACTCCCCCCTCCCAACTTTGGCATTTCCTTAAGGATAAGCATCTTT